CATGTAGCTGGTAGACATTATCAACACAAATCTATGCTACTTTGGGGGTGGAAAATGGGTGTTTGAGCCTAAGAAAGGGCCGTACTTAGTCATTCTCAGAACCACAACCAGAATCATGTCTAGGCCACCAGACTTAGGTAATTTTTGGATGAAATCCATGAATATATATATCCATGCCTGTTTAGGAACTGGCAAAGGTTTTAGCAAGCCTGGTGATGCTGTCCTTTTTGTTTTGCAACGTTGACAAACATCGCGTTTTCTGATCCTGTCTAACACATCCTGTATGAGGCATTCCCAGAAAAATGCTACTTGAGCCAGTTATAAGTGCCTCTAATCCCTAAATGTCCCCCAATGGCAGAATCATGACACTCTTGTAAGACTCTCTGCCTTAACCGAGAGTGACTTCCAATCACAGTCCTTTCCTTTATTTAACGATGCCATTGACCAGCTGAAAAGGAGGTTTTGCAGTGGGTTGGAAGATCAACTCCTGTTTAAGTTTTTGTATTTTTTTATCATCTTTATATTGTTTTCCGCTTCTTGCAATCAGACAGGTATGGAGGCCAGAGGTAAGGCATGCAATTATTCCCTGGCAGTGGCTTTCAGGTTTTCCTCTGTTTGGTTCTACGAATTCCTTTGGGAAAGCGCATCAGCTACTCGATTTTCAGCCTCTTTCTTGTATATTATAGTGTAGTCTAGCCCAACTATTTCATTTTCCCTTGCTGCTGAGTCATAGAATGAACCTGCTGTTCAAGGAGGTTTTTTATACTCTTTTGGTCGGTCTTGATGACGAAGAAACCTCCTTCTAGGTAATGTCTCCATTTGGAGATAGCATGCAATATTGCTAGAAACTCCTTTTCGTTTGGCACAATGCTTTGCTAATAAAAGCAATTTGCTGCCCCTCTTGCATTGAAGCAACACCAATCCTTATCCCACTGGTATCAGCTTCTATGGTGAAAGGTTTTGTAAAGTCAGACAGCCTTAACACCAGGGCTGTTGTCATAGATCGCTTAAGGTTTTCAAAAGCCTCTGTTGCCTCCATTGTCCACTTAAAATTGTCTTCTTTCAGCATGTCAGTAAGGGGGCGACTGATGATGCCATAGTTGCCCTCAAATTTCCTATAGTAGCCAGTGAGACAAAGCAATATTTTCAATGACTTACGAGAGGTGCGTTTCGTCCAAATGGTCACTGCCTCTACTTTCTTTGGATCGGTCTATACTCTTCTCCAGACGATGTGACCTAAATATTCTACTTTCCAGAGGCCAAGAAAACATTTGGACTTTTTAGCATAAAGCTGGTGATTTTTTTTGTCCTTAGCACCGGCTCCAAATGTTTAATGTGATCCTCGGTGCTTTTGCTGAAAACCAGAACGTTCATAAAAAAATACCAGTATAAACTACTTAAATATTTGCAAAAATTGAATTCATTCATGCCTGGAAGGTTACTGGGGCATTGGTGAGTGTGAAAGGTACTACCTTAAACTCGTAATGCTCATGATGGGTTCGAAACAGTCTTGTATAGATCTCTCACTCGGATCTGGTGGTATCCTACCCACAAATCTACTTTTGAGAAAATGGTTGGCCCATTAAACTCCTCGAGTAAGTTGTTTATCGTAGGTATAAGAAACTTATCCTTCACGGTCACCTTGTTAAATTCTTTATAATCAACATAGAATCTCTAAGTACCATCATTCTTCCTGACTAACAACTTTTGGTGAAGAGAAAGGCTGTGACTGGGCTGTATGATGGAGTGCTCTAGCATTTTTTCACTTGTGCTTCTATCTTGGTTTTCTGTGGGCAAGGGTACCTGTAGGGCCTCAGATTTACTGGTGAGCTACCTGTGCGCCACTCTCTTCATCGTTTGTAAATTTAGAAAAGTCCACCCATGTCAATTGGATAGGGACGTAAGAGGTTCTATGGTCTGCTGGCTGCACGCATTGTGGTAATGGTGTCCAAATAATGGAACATTTGGAGGGAAATTTTTGTGTGGTTTGTGGTTGTAAAGGAGGGTCATTTTGATGAAAGAGTGCTGTAGGGTTTATGTGGTTCAGATGTATCGATCACATAGGCTTTGATAGTACGAAAGCAGGTTTATTGATGGTAGGATTTGGTAATATTGGACCAGAGGTTTTAAAGGAATGAGGAAACATCTGAAGAATATTCGACATTTCTGTATGGAGGGAGTAGGGAGCTGGTTGATATTATCTGGCAATTGAGGTGAAACACGGGACTTATCACATATTCTTTTAGTTCCACGTCCTGGCCAGTTTTTGTATGGATTGCATTACAATATGAATTTCTTTGTTGTATAGCATTGGTATAACCCAGAACATTTTAGCCTTGTGCCTGAGCAATTGAGTCCGAGAACGAAGCATGTTATGGAAGTGGATTCTTTACTTGCCAATGGGTTTTTTAAGTTTTGAAGCAAAACCAGATGATCAGCCTTTTAAAGTTATGGTGAAATTGAGTGAGCTACTTATTAGAAATTCTATTAGTATTTAGACTTTGGTCAAATCAAAATAGTATAAGCATAGTGTTTTAAATCGTTTCTCCTGCCACTCTTCAGATTATTGCTATTCTGGATTAAATGAATTCTCCTGATTGATTTTGTTGAAAAATGCGTCCAGGGTTTAGTTTATTCTAGGTAACACTGTGAACTTCATCTGTGCTATTGACATAAGTGGTAAAATGTGAAGGTATTTCCTCTTGTAATTAATATATTCCTGCTTAATTTTCCTTGTGCGCAGATCTTCTGTTAAGTATTCTGAGAAGACGAAATTCGAAGAACATATGATGCTATGTCCTCCGAAAGGGATGATTTTAGCCTTTCAGGGCCCTTACACCTAACTGTTATTGATTGGTACTGCATTCCACTCTCTCTGAATTGTCTATACTTCGATTTGCATCTACACGCATAAATCTATCCACTGTTCAATTCTCGTTTGTGGTTCTCTCACATCAGATATATTTTGTGGACGTAATCGCTTGATTGTGCTTCTAGGTTTGCGTTTTTTCCAATTGCCAGTCTTGCTTTTCAAGATTTTGATATCAAGTATAGTTACTTTTTCCCAATTCTTTTAATTAAAAATGGTAAATATTAGCTGCTTTGTAGAAATAAATGTGACAGCTTTTCCAGAACAATTGTTTGTCTCCCGGGGAAGTAAGAAAATGATTAACCAAATTTCTTTTAGCTTTCTTATTTGCTAATAATATTTTAAAAATATTACATGGGATATGTAAATATATATACCATTCTAAAAGTATCTTCTATATTTTTTTATTATTTTCTTATCTCTGCTACCAAAGAAAAAAAAAAGAAACCTTCAGATTCTCTTCCCCATTTAATAACGATCATGGTCCAAGGATCTTCTGTTGGATTTTGCTGAATCTGAATTCAATAACCTAAGAACTCTAAGGCCGTATCAAGTCCTTTATTTTTCTTTTAATAGCTAAGAAAGTAGACATGACACACTTGAGCAATGGATAGAAAACATCATTTTTCTAATAACAAATAGAAAGCTCGTAAAAAGAAAGATGCAGCTCCTTGTGTTAATCTGGGGCAATTTGCCACTTTGATTTTGAAAGAATATTATGTATCATATGTAAAAAAGTAATTTTCAAACTATAATTTTGGTAATTGTTTTGACCCCATTGTTCATGATAATGATAATTCAACCCCATCATTTATGATCAATGATGTTTATGTTCCTTAATAATTTTGGTAATTTTGACCTTATTAATCATTATTTCTATATACATTATTGATCTTACTGCAATGTTGTAGCTCCTCTGACCAGAAAGGATTTTTCCCTTTTGTAATTTCTATAATATCTTGAAAAACACATTGTTACCTAGTTACATTACATTCCACAATATTATGGGAAAGATAAATTATTAACTATGATACTTTTCTTCAACAATAGAAAGCTTTTAATATATAGAATTTTCAAAAAAAAGAAACAGAAGTTTTCTCCTTCAACACAACTAAATGGAGTTACATCTTAGCATCAGGATATTGTGAAATACTATGTTGAGGATGAGTCTTTGGTTATATCCACACTTTGAGGAAGTAAATTCTGATCTTTCGCCAGTTCTTAATAATTGTATGACCCATATTGGGCTTGATTTTAGAAAAAAGGAATCTTATTACAGTTTTTACTTGTTGCAACTGCTAACAGTATTCCCTGGAAGATGCATGGTTTATTCTGTTTTTGCATCAGCAAATATGACTTTGAGACAGAGAATGTTTTATACTATTTTATGCAGGACAAATATAGATCATCAAAGGTCAGTAGCAGCTAGCTTGGTTCAGGGTGTCTACACTCTAGAGCGAGACCGCCAGCTAAAACGCGAAGGTTCTCAAGCTCTTGCTCCTCCCTGGTGGGAGTTTTTCCATTTTCGGTTGCTTCGTCAGCTTGTGGACGATGTTGATTTTTGCACATTCGGTGCAATTTATGAATATTGCCCTTCGGCATCTCCTCGTAATGATTCAACTGATCGAAGTCCGCGTTATGTAGTTGCCTTGCGAGGCACCATAACCAAGGCAGATTCCTTCTCGAGGGACTTCGACCTAGATATCCAAATTATCCGAAATGGACTCCACCAGACATCTCGGTTTGAGATTGCTATGCAGGCAGTTCGAAACACAGTTGCCTCTGTTGGTGAATCAAATGTGTGGTTAGCTGGCCATTCCTTGGGAGCTGCCATGGGAATGCTTGCTGGAAAAACTATGGCCAAGTCTGGCATTTATCTTGAATCTTTTCTGTTTAATCCACCATTTTTATCTCCCCCGATAGAAAGAATCAAGGCTAAGAAAGTAAAACATGGGATCCGAATTGCAGGCAGTGTGATCACAGCTGGACTTGCTCTTGCTTTGAACGCTAACCAACAAAGGAATCGCACTGCAGATCCATTTCTTTCAGTTGCTGCGTGGGTTCCATTTTTATACGTGAATCCCAATGATCATTTGTGCTCTGAATATGTAGGATACTTTGAACACAGGAAAAAAATGGAGGAGATAGGAGTGGGCGCCATTGAGAAGGTAGCAACCCAACATTCTCTAGGAGGTCTAGTGATGAGTGCACTTGGGAAGGATGCACCGGGCGAGCCAATACACCTCATTCCATCTGCAAATCTGACCGTGAACTTAACCCCTGTGGAGAATTTCAAACAAGCCCATGGAATCCACCAATGGTGGAGGGATGACCAGCAGCTCAAGTCCCAGTTTTACAAGTACCAGTAGTTGTTGGTAAGAAAATGTTCCATCATTGTACAAATGGATCTATTTATGTCTTCCAACTGCAACTATGAAATTGTTGGTTATGTGTTTCTTGAAATTATATATATTTCTACTGTTGTAGCTATTAGTGCATCTTGCTGTGGGCAGAGACTAAATGTTCTTCTCTCTCATTATAATGCATGTAGAATGTTACTTTTAAAATGCTATTATCAAAACTAAAATTCAATTGAATTTTAAGCCTAACGAAAAGCTCAATTGGTATATTGGTATTGATGTGCCAAGTGTTTGGAGCTGCTCGAATTCATGTTCTTATTCCGCAATCCTGCCAATATACATCATGCAGATGCCTCTTTAAGTTACAAATAAATAAAATGAGGGTCTTGATCACCCATATAGTTTGGATCAGCTGACTGCTGAGAATTGGGATAAAGCTCGGTGGAAGATAATTTATTTATTTATTTTTTTATATATATTTTTTTAATTATCTGAGTCAGTTTAGTAAAGATGATACTTGTATTAATTTTTCTAAAAAATATGTTACTAATTCATATATTTTAAATTAACGAAATTGTAGAAAAATAATATAATGTTTTTTACGTGGCAAGAAAAATAGTGTAATGTTTTTGTTTGATAAATATATATGATGGATGAAGTAATCAGGAACATAAATATTAAGCTTACATGGATCAAACTTCAGATTTTGTTTTCATGTTTTGGGGCCCCAATACTTCAAGCTTGCAATACGTAAGGTGAGGCGTGGAACTGCTCCAACGAAAAAGTCAAAAAGTAGGAAAAAGACGGACGCAAATCTCAAGGTAGTGTGTACTACTGAACAGTGACGTACACTGAATCATGACTTGCTTTGCTGTATCCTTCTGCACTCTCCACCATTTTCTTCTTTCCCCACTCACAATTTCCTCAATTTTCAGACCTCATTTTATTGTTTCCAAATGTTTGGTGAAGATCCCCAAACCTGTCATCCATCAAATTTTTCTTCTTTAAAACCTAATCAAATAAGCTCATCCCTGGACCAAACTCTCAGTATTCTCTCAGTCTCAAGACTATTCAACCAGCAAAGTAAATATTGACTAGCATCCAACTTTACTTAAACCTCAATTAATCGAACACACCCAGATATCAATTATGCTTCTTCCTACAATCTTCAAAATCTTCACCTTCATCAACCTCAATTAGAAACGAAAATACCCACTTTCCATAAACAAAAATCTAAAAACTACTTAAGTCTTACAAGCCATAAAACCAAAAAAAAAAAAAAAAAAAAAAAATCTTTTTACACTTCCAACCTTCTTCAACGAATTTGGACATATAGAATCAACAACTACAACTAACAAAAACACGCCCAAATAAAAAAGAATAGTTATTGCTGACTAACTAAACATTAACAGTGGAAACCCAACACAGATCCATCACTCACAGCAATGGCGACTCTGCATTCAGCTTTAGCCTCAACGTGGTGGGTAAAGAAATGCAAAACCCTCACTCGACCGGCCATCTCCATCCTCGATTCTATCTCCAAAGTTGGTCCGACCCGGTAGGGATATCCGGGTCCCCCCAACCCGGTTGGTACCGGCCCTGCAAAAGTGGCTGCCTGTGCGGCAGAGGCGGCTGCCCCAAGCGGGAAGGACTGAACGGCGAAGGTGGCAGCCATGTACTGGGTCTGACCGGCCTGGATCTTGCCGGCGGGAATGAACATGAAACCCACTTGGCCGCCGGAGTAAAGGAGCTGGATGGTGCTGTCGTAGTGAGAGAAAACAGCTCTGTTGGGGTTGTTGACGGTGACGTACTGAGAGAAAGTGAAGCTGACGGTGTTGTTGGAGACGGAGAAGGAGGGAAGCTGGACGGCGGTGACAGAAATCTTGGGGTCTTTGGGTTTAAAGACGGTGAAGTATACTATGAGGATAATGATGAGGAGAAAGATCAAGAAAATGGTGGCGACTATGCAAGAGGCAAGATTTGTACGGCCTGAGTTAGGCCTGTGGCCATGTGGTTTGCTCATATTTTTCTGGTTCTGATAAGATATTTTAGTATTTGTTCGTGATGAAAATAAAAGTGAAGAGAGAAGGAGAGGGAAGGGAAGGAATCTTGAGAGAAAGAACTCATAAGGGCGTGTTTGGGAATAATATAAATGAAAGTGAAATGAGTATGAATAGTAATCATTGATGATTCATATTAAAGACTGACTTTCTTTTTCTTTTTGTTTTCTTTATTTGTTTCTTCTTGGGTATTTCTTTCGTCTTCTACTCAACTCAAATCCTCAGCTAGAGTCATGAGAATGCTTTCGGCTCAAGGGAGGAAACAAATTTTTGGATATGTTATTCTCTCCACGGTTATAATTATCATCTATCTTTTATATTTCACTTTTTCCCCAGAAAAAAAAAAATCGATTTTTTTAAGAACTAAAGTGAGATAAGACTTAAAAGTCCAAATTATACTTATAATATATGATGATAAGCTAGGTGTTGTTGACACAAAATATAAATGTAAAAAACTAGTTATGTAGTTCAAAAAAGTAAAAAAGAAGCAAGTTGTGCGTAGTGCTACTGGAATTAGGCAGCACAAATTTAAGTTAGGCTAATCACCAAGCTGTAACAAGTCTCTCAATAAAAAATCTAGTCCTAGTAATTTTGTTCTTCAACCATGTCTGTTGTAAAAGCCAATTTACATAACATATTTGCACATTATTTTTCAATATCTCCAATGAGATTTGAGGTTTTTAACCAAAACAGTTCAAAATTTAATTTTTTTGTTATTTCTCATTTGTGATTGTTACATGATTAGACATTTAACATTAAAATATTTGTATGTTGTTGTATGATGTACATCTACAGGTTACATAACATGTATGATAATTTTCAAATGTCATCTAAACTGGAGTTTATTTTGTTAATTGAGATATACAAATATTTGAGGCGTAATCATT